AGAGGCCAATCGTCGTACTCACCACTTTTGAGGCGCCTCAAAAGTCGTTTTTTGAGGCGCCTCAAAAGATGACAGGTTGCTGTGCTGCTCCGTTCCGAGGCGAGAACCCTATACAACGGCTGACAGAGGCCAATCGTCGTACTCACCACTTTTGAGGCGCCTCAAAAGTCGTTTTTTGAGGCGCCTCAAAAGATGACAGGTTGCTGTGCTGCTCCGTTCCGAGGCGAGAGCCCTATACGACGGCTGACAGAGGCCAATCGTCGTACTCACCACTTTTGAGGCGCCTCAAAAGTCGTTTTTGAGGCGCCTCAAAAGATGACAGGTTGCTGTGCTGCTCCGTTCCGAGGCGAGAACCCTATACAACGGCTGACAGAGGCCAATCGTCGTACTCACCACTTTTGAGGCGCCTCAAAAGTCGTTTTTTGAGGCGCCTCAAAAGATGACAGGTTGCTGTGCTGCTCCGTTCCGAGGCGAGAGCCCTATACAACGGCTGACAGAGGCCAATCGTCGTACTCACCACTTTTGAGGCGCCTCAAAAGTCGTTTTTGAGGCGCCTCAAAAGATGACAGGTTGCTGTGCTGCTCCGTTCCGAGGCGAGAACCCTATACAACGGCTGACAGAGGCCAATCGTCGTACTCACCACTTTTGAGGCGCCTCAAAAGTCGTTTTTGAGGCGCCTCAAAAGATGACAGGTTGCTGTGCTGCTCCGTTCCGAGGCGAGAGCCCTATACAACGGCTGACAGAGGCCAATCGTCGTACTCACCACTTTTGAGGCGCCTCAAAAGTCGTTTTTTGAGGCGCCTCAAAAGATGACAGGTTGCTGTGCTGCTCCGTTCCGAGGCGAGAACCCTATACAACGGCTGACAGAGGCCAATCGTCGTACTCACCACTTTTGAGGCGCCTCAAAAGTCGTTTTTGAGGCGCCTCAAAAGATGACAGGTTGCTGTGCTGCTCCGTTCCGAGGCGAGAGCCCTATACAACGGCTGACAGAGGCCAATCGTCGTACTCACCACTTTTGAGGCGCCTCAAAAGTCGTTTTTTGAGGCGCCTCAAAAGATGACAGGTTGCTGTGCTGCTCCGTTCCGAGGCGAGAACCCTATACAACGGCTGACAGAGGCCAATCGTCGTACTCACCACTTTTGAGGCGCCTCAAAAGTCGTTTTTTGAGGCGCCTCAAAAGATGACAGGTTGCTGTGCTGCTCCGTTCCGAGGCGAGAGCCCTATACAACGGCTGACAGAGGCCAATCGTCGTACTCACCACTTTTGAGGCGCCTCAAAAGTCGTTTTTGAGGCGCCTCAAAAGATGACAGGTTGCTGTGCTGCTCCGTTCCGAGGCGAGAACCCTATACAACGGCTGACAGAGGCCAATCGTCGTACTCACCACTTTTGAGGCGCCTCAAAAGTCGTTTTTGAGGCGCCTCAAAAGATGACAGGTTGCTGTGCTGCTCCGTTCCGAGGCGAGAGCCCTATACAACGGCTGACAGAGGCCAATCGTCGTACTCACCACTTTTGAGGCGCCTCAAAAGTCGTTTTTTGAGGCGCCTCAAAAGATGACAGGTTGTTGTGCTGCTCCGTTCCGAGGCGAGAACCCTATACAACGGCTGACAGAGGCCAATCGTCGTACTCACCACTTTTGAGGCGCCTCAAAAGTCGTTTTTTGAGGCGCCTCAAAAGATGACAGGTTGCTGTGCTGCTCCGTTCCGAGGCGAGAGCCCTATACAACGGCTGACAGAGGCCAATCGTCGTACTCACCACTTTTGAGGCGCCTCAAAAGTCGTTTTTGAGGCGCCTCAAAAGATGACAGGTTGTTGTGCTGCTCCGTTCCGAGGCGAGAACCCTATACAACGGCTGACAGAGGCCAATCGTCGTACTCACCACTTTTGAGGCGCCTCAAAAGTCGTTTTTGAGGCGCCTCAAAAGATGACAGGTTGCTGTGCTGCTCCGTTCCGAGGCGAGAGCCCTATACAACGGCTGACAGAGGCCAATCGTCGTACTCACCACTTTTGAGGCGCCTCAAAAGTCGTTTTTTGAGGCGCCTCAAAAGATGACAGGTTGCTGTGCTGCTCCGTTCCGAGGCGAGAACCCTATACAACGGCTGACAGAGGCCAATCGTCGTACTCACCACTTTTGAGGCGCCTCAAAAGTCGTTTTTTGAGGCGCCTCAAAAGATGACAGGTTGCTGTGCTGCTCCGTTCCGAGGCGAGAGCCCTATACAACGGCTGACAGAGGCCAATCGTCGTACTCACCACTTTTGAGGCGCCTCAAAAGTCGTTTTTGAGGCGCCTCAAAAGATGACAGGTTGCTGTGCTGCTCCGTTCCGAGGCGAGAACCCTATACAACGGCTGACAGAGGCCAATCGTCGTACTCACCACTTTTGAGGCGCCTCAAAAGTCGTTTTTGAGGCGCCTCAAAAGATGACAGGTTGCTGTGCTGCTCCGTTCCGAGGCGAGAGCCCTATACAACGGCTGACAGAGGCCAATCGTCGTACTCACCACTTTTGAGGCGCCTCAAAAGTCGTTTTTTGAGGCGCCTCAAAAGATGACAGGTTGCTGTGCTGCTCCGTTCCGAGGCGAGAACCCTATACAACGGCTGACAGAGGCCAATCGTCGTACTCACCACTTTTGAGGCGCCTCAAAAGTCGTTTTTTGAGGCGCCTCAAATGATGACAGGTTGCTGTGCTGCTCCGTTCCGAGGCGAGAGCCCTATACAACGGCTGACAGAGGCCAATCGTCGTACTCACCACTTTTGAGGCGCCTCAAAAGTCGTTTTTTGAGGCGCCTCAAAAGATGACAGGTTGCTGTGCTGCTCCGTTCCGAGGCGAGAACCCTATACAACGGCTGACAGAGGCCAATCGTCGTACTCACCACTTTTGAGGCGCCTCAAAAGTCGTTTTTTGAGGCGCCTCAAAAGATGACAGGTTGCTGTGCTGCTCCGTTCCGAGGCGAGAGCCCTATACAACGGCTGACAGAGGCCAATCGTCGTACTCACCACTTTTGAGGCGCCTCAAAAGTCGTTTTTGAGGCGCCTCAAAAGATGACAGGTTGCTGTGCTGCTCCGTTCCGAGGCGAGAACCCTATACAACGGCTGACAGAGGCCAATCGTCGTACTCACCACTTTTGAGGCGCCTCAAAAGTCGTTTTTGAGGCGCCTCAAAAGATGACAGGTTGCTGTGCTGCTCCGTTCCGAGGCGAGAGCCCTATACAACGGCTGACAGAGGCCAATCGTCGTACTCACCACTTTTGAGGCGCCTCAAAAGTCGTTTTTTGAGGCGCCTCAAAAGATGACAGGTTGCTGTGCTGCTCCGTTCCGAGGCGAGAACCCTATACAACGGCTGACAGAGGCCAATCGTCGTACTCACCACTTTTGAGGCGCCTCAAAAGTCGTTTTTTGAGGCGCCTCAAAAGATGACAGGTTGCTGTGCTGCTCCGTTCCGAGGCGAGAACCCTATACAACGGCTGACAGAGGCCAATCGTCGTACTCACCACTTTTGAGGCGCCTCAAAAGTCGTTTTTGAGGCGCCTCAAAAGATGACAGGTTGCTGTGCTGCTCCGTTCCGAGGCGAGAGCCCTATACAACGGCTGACAGAGGCCATTTGTCGTACTCACCACTTTTGAGGCGCCTCAAAAGTCGTTTTTTGAGGCGCCTCAAAAGATGACAGGTTGCTGTGCTGCTCCGTTCCGAGGCGAGAACCCTATACAACGGCTGACAGAGGCCAATCGTCGTACTCACCACTTTTGAGGCGCCTCAAAAGTCGTTTTTGAGGCGCCTCAAAAGATGACAGGTTGCTGTGCTGCTCCGTTCCGAGGCGAGAACCCTATACAACGGCTGACAGAGGCCAATCGTCGTACTCACCACTTTTGAGGCGCCTCAAAAGTCGTTTTTGAGGCGCCTCAAAAGATGACAGGTTGCTGTGCTGCTCCGTTCCGAGGCGAGAGCCCTATACAACGGCTGACAGAGGCCAATCGTCGTACTCACCACTTTTGAGGCGCCTCAAAAGTCGTTTTTTGAGGCGCCTCAAAAGATGACAGGTTGCTGTGCTGCTCCGTTCCGAGGCGAGAACCCTATACAACGGCTGACAGAGGCCAATCGTCGTACTCACCACTTTTGAGGCGCCTCAAAAGTCGTTTTTTGAGGCGCCTCAAAAGATGACAGGTTGCTGTGCTGCTCCGTTCCGAGGCGAGAACCCTATACAACGGCTGACAGAGGCCAATCGTCGTACTCACCACTTTTGAGGCGCCTCAAAAGTCGTTTTTGAGGCGCCTCAAAAGATGACAGGTTGCTGTGCTGCTCCGTTCCGAGGCGAGAGCCCTATACAACGGCTGACAGAGGCCAATCGTCGTACTCACCACTTTTGAGGCGCCTCAAAAGTCGTTTTTTGAGGCGCCTCAAAAGATGACAGGTTGCTGTGCTGCTCCGTTCCGAGGCGAGAACCCTATACAACGGCTGACAGAGGCCAATCGTCGTACTCACCACTTTTGAGGCGCCTCAAAAGTCGTTTTTTGAGGCGCCTCAAAAGATGACAGGTTGCTGTGCTGCTCCGTTCCGAGGCGAGAACCCTATACAACGGCTGACAGAGGCCAATCGTCGTACTCACCACTTTTGAGGCGCCTCAAAAGTCGTTTTTGAGGCGCCTCAAAAGATGACAGGTTGCTGTGCTGCTCCGTTCCGAGGCGAGAGCCCTATACAACGGCTGACAGAGGCCATTTGTCGTACTCACCACTTTTGAGGCGCCTCAAAAGTCGTTTTTTGAGGCGCCTCAAAAGATGACAGGTTGCTGTGCTGCTCCGTTCCGAGGCGAGAACCCTATACAACGGCTGACAGAGGCCAATCGTCGTACTCACCACTTTTGAGGCGCCTCAAAAGTCGTTTTTTGAGGCGCCTCAAAAGATGACAGGTTGCTGTGCTGCTCCGTTCCGAGGCGAGAACCCTATACAACGGCTGACAGAGGCCAATCGTCGTACTCACGACCAACGGTCAACAATGCCAAAAGTCAACAGCGGTCAAAGACTCACCTGCATGGTTTCAGCGAGGATGGGGATGGAGGGCAGGATGTGAGGCAGCAGCGGTGCGGCCACTAGGAAGAGCGGCATGGTCTCCACGATAAAGTGGTAGAAGTTAAAGCCCTGCGAGTACGCCCAGCGGAACGCTGCCGGCGGCACGTGCACCTGCCGCTCTGCTGAGTAGGATATCTACTGGGGTGGTGAGGGAAGTAAGTGGAGGTAAAGGAAGAGAGGGGATGTTCTAACAATGACGGACCATTCGGGGATGTTCTTGACAAGAAGATGGTACAAGTGCTGTGCTTCTGAGAGTAACCCCGGTCTCGCATCCCTTCCATCTCGGTGCCACCATCTCTCCTTATTCCCTCATTCCTGCCTCCCCTTCTCGCACGCACCTCATTGAAGCGACCGCAGCCTGGCCGCACGAAGCCGTGGGTGCGGTTGAACACAACCCCCTTGGCCGTCACATACACATTCTGCAGCTGCATCAGCTGCGGGGCACTCGGGTAGTGTGGGTTAAAGTCCTGCTTGTGAGAGCACGACTCGTCATACCCATCATACACGTGTGTCGATGTCCACCCCTCTCCTCCATCTCCTCCTCCTTCTCCCTCTTCTCCACCTCCTAATCGTCTTCTTTGTCTTCCTTCCCTTTCTCTTTCCCCTCCCCCTCCCTCTCCCCCTCCCGCCTCCTCTCTCAACTGAGTCTCGATTCTCTTCGGGCAGTTCACGGGCGGTTCAGGCCAATATATTTCCGGCTCCACTAGGTTCGGGATCAAGCAGGCCTGGAGGTTCGGGAAGTGGGGACCGCAGGAGGCCATGGAGGGACAGGTGTCGCCGCGGCATTGGGCGAGAGTGCCCCACTTGGGGTCGTGCTCCAGGTAGTGCAGCAGCACTCGCTGCTGATTGGACGAGTTGAACGCGAAGCCTAGCGGCTCGACCAGCAGGTTTGCCCTCTCACGGTGGGTCCTGGCATGAGAAGAGCAGGAGGGGTGATGGGGAACAAGAGAAGGAACGTGGGTGAAGGAAAGGGGAGGAAGAGAGCCCCACTTGGGGTCGTGCTCCAGGTAAGTGCAGCGGCACCCGCTGCTGGTTGGACGAGTTGAACGCGAAGCCCAATGGCTCAATGGCTCAATGGCTCAATGGCTCAATGGCTCAACTAGCAGATTGGCGAGCGGAACAAGCGGAGGAATGAGGGGTCAGAGAAGGAATGGGGCATGTGGGGATGGGCACAGGCATGTGGGGATGGGCACAGGCATGTGGGGATGGGCACAGGCATGTGGGGATGGGCACAGGCATGTAGCACCCTTTAGAAGCACACCTGATGGACAGGAACGAAGCACTCTATACTAGCACACCTGATGGGCTAGCACTCTACAGTAGCACACCTGATGGGCTAGCACTTTATACTAGCACACCTGATGGGCTAGCACTCTATACTAGCTCGCCTGATGGGCATAGGCACGTAGCACACACCGGATGGGCACAGGCACGTAGTACTGCAGCTCGGCTTCGAAGGCCTTCACCTGCCCCACCAGCTGCAGCTGCCTCCGATGCCCCATGCTGCCATGACCACGCATGACCATGTGACTGTTGCTGCCGTTGCCGTGCATGAACACATCTCTGCTGCTGCCGTTGCCATGCGGGATGGCATTACTCCTGCTGCAGCCGTTGCCATGCGGGATGACATGGCTCCTGCTGCTGCCGTTGCCATGCATGATGGCAGGTCCGTTGGCGTCACAACCACATGCGCCACGAGCGGCGCAGGCCAGGAGCAAGACGACGAGAGCAATCCACAAGTCACTCTCGGAAATTCCTGAAAGCCCGCTTAGCTTCCGTGCAATCCGATTCCTCATTGGGCTCAAACCTCGCATCATGGACGTGCATGCGCAAAGCGCAGGATTTTAAAGAAGTCAAACTGGGGATGCGAGAATCTACAGCAACTATCAGCCCAGAATGCCGCCCTCTCTTCTAATCCTCCGAAGAATCTGACTTATTTATTGATATACATCAGGGGCATAAGATTCTGGATGGTCACCGCAGTCGACCAGCACGACGCTCGTCATCCATTATGGATGTCCCGATCGATTCGTTCACTGCTCTCGTGTCCTCTTGAAATGGCGACTAACGATGTCAGTCCAAAAAACTGGACATAAAAATCGACTAGACGAGAACAACACAGGAATCTCAGGAGTATGAATGGTGGAGACAACACCTACCCACGGACTGATCACATAATCTTCAGCTCTCTGTTTTTGTTCTTACAATTTGAGCGCCTGTGTGGTATATCGTTACAATGTGATGCCAAACGGTGAAGCTCGATAACCGCTTGGCACCGTGTGGAACTGTCCTGAGACACGAAGAATAACGGCGAGCACTGTTGATCTGTAAAGCAGGCGATGATGTAAAGCATTGAGTTCAACAACGCAACCAACCAATAGAAATGTTCTGTAAATTACCGGTATTGCTAGACTCACAAGGGAACAAAACGTTACTACCGATCTGGATGTTTTTCATTCATTTTGGATAAATTCTTCACTCAGTTCTTCTCGAAAGCACATGAGATTCCCATATGGTATATATTAGCAGTTAAGAAGGGAAGGCAGACCTTATACCTGCAGCTGAGAGCTTTTACAACGATTGACAGCAGTACTGCTTCCACTCAGATGAGCTTGTGCCGTACGTACGTGGCCAGCTTCCGCATGCCAGTTTGGATTGGACCACATTTGCCCGCATCGCCACGTCTTCTCCAGCTGTCACTTACCGTCACACCCAGGTCTGACTTTGATGTGGGGGAATGCTACCTCTGACGCCAGCAGCTTATGACTTAGTGAGAAATCGCGACGCGATGAGAACCTAGTGGAAATTGCTCCTTCAAATTCGTTGCTCCATTCCCCCACAAGCACACACACACACCCTCCTTTCCTTTCTCCATCAGAACTCTGAGGAGCAGTAGGGATTTCATGGCCTGAATGTGGGCGTTGTTCGTTACATTAGTGGCTGCAGCCCGTTTTTCTTTCGCGCCTAAGATACAACTTTACTAGTTAAATCGCGCCTTGTCCTTGGCGGGTTATTTCTGCTTTCCCAGGCTTGTTCGTGGCGTAGTCAAGTCCGTTTACAGCAATCCTCTCTACATGGCGCAGAATCCCTCAGCACCGACCTCGTCGTTGGAGCCGCCAAGTCTGCTGGTGGTGGGGGCAGGTCCAGTGGGTCTCGTCGCGGCGTGCGAGTTGCGGCGCCACGGGCTGCACGTGCGCGTCGTGGAGCGGAATCGCGCGCCGTCGGAGCACTCCAAGGCGCTGGCGCTGCACGCGCGCACGCTCGAGATCTTATCCGCGCATGACGGCGTAGTGGACGCTTTAATCGCCGCGGGAACCATAGTGGAGGTGAGGGTCGAATCCGCGCGGGGAAAGGTGAACGTTCTAGTGAGACAGGTGCAAATTACCTTTCGTACGATTTATCGACAAGCCGTGACCCTAATTCACTATTTTCAATGTTCCGAAATTGGTCGTTTGTTCTCAAATTGTTCGTCATTGTCCCTCTTCGATGTTCCTGTCCAATGTCCCCCTCTGATGTCACTGTCCGCCAGGGAATTGAGGTCCGAACAGACGGACAAATGGCGGCGTCGCTTGCTATTTCAGAGATAAACGGCGGCCCCGCCGGAGATGACGGCGGAAGGCACGGCAGGGACCACGGCCTGGCGCGCCGCGAGGAGCAATCCGCGGATTGCGGGGACGACTCCAGGCCGAGCGTGTGGGCGACACGGTTCCCGTTCGTGCTGATGGTGCCGCAGAGCGACACGGAACGGATTGTGGCGCGCTGCCTGAAGGACGTGTATGGGACGGACGTGGAGTGGCAGACGGAACTTGTCAGAATCCGTCAGGTGCGCTCTGAGAGAAGCAGAATCAGTCAAGGGTTCCTACATCTCGGCTCCTGCACAGTGGCTTCGCCCTTCACGAACATGATACTTCTGTTGAAAGGAGAGTACATCCATAGCTTAGAAGTTCCAAAGGTTGCTGGATAAGCACCTGAAACCCTAGCATGCATGCCCTTTAATCCCCTATACCCTGTAACACTGGGAAACCTCCACGCTCTCCATCCACTCACAGGACCCGAGTGCAGTGCACGTGGAGCTACGTCATGAACGTGGGCGCACGAGGCAACCCCCCACCCCTGCCACACCATCTCACTCCACAGCAGCAACTGCTGTAGTGACAGGCACAGAGACTGCAACCAAAGGGATGGGGAGAGAGGAGTGGAGAACGGTGGAAGGGGGTGGGGCGGAGGGCGAGGTAGAGGCGGCAGCGTTTGACCTGGTGTGTGCATGTGATGGGCCGCACAGCACGTGCCGTCGCCAGCTGGGGCTCTCCTTTGACGGGCTGCAGTACCCCATGCACGCGGTCCTTGCTGACGTGGCACTTTCCCATTGGCCGTTCCCGAGGAACAAGGGCCACGTGTTCACTCGAGGTAAACGTGTGGTGGCACCTGGTGTGGGGGGGGGAGGGGGAGGTGTTTTAGTGGCTCTGCCGTTTGGGGTGGATGGCTTGTGGCGGTTGATCTTTGATGAAGGAACGGCCAGGATGTTTTCTCCAGCAGGGCTGATTGACCAAACCGAGGCCCTCAGGCACAGCAAAGGGAAGGCGGCGGAGGGAGGTGGGGCAGCAGCAGGGGAAGTGGGGGAACGGGGGCTGGGAGAAAGGACAGGGAAGGGAGGAGACAAGAGTGAGACTCCATATGTGGAGATCCCAGCAGGGATGTCATCCTCAGTAGATGTATCTGACACCACAGAGGTCCCTCCACCATCATCAGACATCCCATCCGCATCAACAGCAGAATCTGTATCCACTGCAGGAGTCTCATCCCCAGCACGTGCGGTCTCAGCAGTGGTATCTGAGACGGCCCATCATGGCACGACCACCATCCCTTCCGCGCCGCTTTCTTCCACTGCTCCTTCTGCTGCTTCTGCTTCTAGTCTTGCCCCTGATGGTTCTGGTGGTGGCAGCGCTGGTACAGCACCGGCCCCTTCCCCAGTGACAGCTCAGCAGCCAGCGTTGACACCTCAGCATTTGTCCGCCATGCTCAACGCCATCATGCCATGTGGCGCCCACGTGGACAGCATCCATTGGTGCAGCGTCTTCAGCATGCACCTGCGCTCCCTGAACCGTTTCCTCCAATCCCGCGTCTTATTCCTAGGCGACGCAGCCCACATACACAGCCCTGTAGGCGGCCAGGGGCTTAACACAGGAGTGCAGGATGCTTATAACGCAGCGTGGAAGCTGGCTCTGGTAGGAAGGGGCATCGCAGGGTGGGAGCTATTAAATACGTATGACACAGAGCGAAGGGCGGCTGTGGCGCAGGTTCTTAAAGCCACGGATGTTGGCACTCGGGCTATGTTCCTTCCGACCCTACTCACTTCTCTCTCTCGCTCTGCTGCTTTCTTCCTCCTCTCTCACTCTCACTCCCTCAGAGTCGCAGCAGCAGCCACTGTAGCTCAGCTGTCCCTGCAATACCCTCCCTCCTCTCTATTCCTACAGGATCTCCCCTCCACTCTCTCTTCCCTCCTCTCCTCTCCTCTCTCTGCTCCCCTGCGCCTCCTGCCCCCGCCTGTTGCTGCTGTCTTAGCGCCAGCAGCAGCAGCAGCAGCGCCGGGAGCACGGGCACCAGATGCCCTGCTGCTGCTGCTGCTGCCTCCCTCTCACTACACCCACACTTCAGTGCCACCCGCCACTCCCCACTACAGTCCCGCTCGTCACGGTCACACTGTGGCATCACAGTCTCCCCCTCAGTCCAGTGGTGGTGGCAGCAGCAGCAGGAGGGTTGAAGGCGTAGCAGAGACACGCCAACAGCAGCAGCAGCAGCAGCAGCAGCAGCAGCAGCAGCAGCAGCAGCAGCAGAAAGCAGAGCAGTTGCAAAGGGCAGTGCAACTACAAAAAGCTTCCCAGCAAATCGGAGGTGGCGGGTGGCAGCCGTGCTCCATGCTCCACCTGCTCTCCTCCTGCAGCCTGGACGGAGGCACACCCTCCCACCACCTGCTGCTCTTTGCTGGCACCGGCTTAAAACCATCTCTCCTGCGGCAGCTCAGGTTGTTTAAAGATGAGGCTCTAGCAGCGGCAGTGGGGGGGAGAAGAGGGGCGGAGGGCGAGGAGGCTGCCTGGAAGATTCCTGTTTCTGTGCATTGTGTTCTGGAGGCTCGGGCGTCTGCTGAGGGGATTGTACAGGCTTTCCGGGAGTTGATTGGTGGCGTGGATGGGACACGTGGCAGCGAGGGTTTGGCCAGCAGCATCGGTGTTTTTGAGCCATGGGGGCATGTGAGCGTGTGTGTGGATGCGCATGGGTATGCATACAAGAGGTACCATGGGGATGCATGCCCTTTTTACCTGGTGAGGCCGGATGGGCATGTGGCACTGAGGGCTGGGCAGTGGCAGCCGGGCAGGGCACAGGCGTACTTTGATGGCATCAGAGGGCGTTTGGGCAAGGCTGGAGGGGGTTAGGGAGGTAGTAGCGATGTGATGGTGTGCCGGAGGTATCATGAGATGGTATTGTGAGGGTGGGAGTAAGCGTCTGATTGCAGTCGTGCTAGAGTATCATTCTGTGGGCTGGCTTTCAGCAATTGGAAATGTGTGGCGTGCTTCCACACGCTCACAAGTTCAGGCATGGTATTGTGAATAGAAGGCATGGATGGAGGGCGGCTCCTGGGGAGTTCAGTAGCTGGAATCAGGGAAAGAGTGGGCCAGGGTGGTCGTGACTGTTATATGCGTTGCTATTACCTGGCCCGCGTGTACATAGTAGGTATGCTCCTCGTGAAGGTTTATGTGTGTGGATGGTGATAGCATGCGTGTGGTGTCTGTGTGGCGTGCGCCTTGTGGAGTTCTCGTTGTGGTTATGCTTGGCATGGTGTGCTTGTAAATATGTCTGAGACATGGGGCACGAGTAAGTGACAGTAGGTATCAGCTTAGGTATGCGTGTAAACCATGCCACTTGTGCTGTACAGTTGTACATGTATTTAGTTGTGTACATAGAATTGAAATTGCCACTTCTCATCTGAGAGCAACCAAAGCGGTTGACAGAAAGACAACAGCAAGAGGTTAAGTGTAGGTAAAAGATCAGCGACCTTTGACTCGCCGAAAAGCAACGCGACAGCAAGGACACATAACTGACTCGCTATTGAGCAGTTACCCGAGTCGTCGCTGTATCGAACCGCAACACAGTTCCAGTTAGTTAAACCTTTCATATCCCTTGTAATCATATAAAGCCTTGTATCTCTTTGCCATAATCAGCTTATCTTGTTCTCACATACCAGTGCAAGGGGGTGAGACGCTTCCGCTACTACATCACTATTCTGAGCCTTAGAGCGTATTCCTATCCTCGTATCAAGAAAACCTCATATCAAGATTGTACCTTTTGCCTGGTAAAAGTAGCGAGAGGTTTTGGGTTTAGGGGAATTTTCAGTGGGAGGTTGATATGAGGTTTTCTTGATACGAGGATAGGAATACGCTCTTAGTCTTGAAAACGATATTAAGGGCTTTTCTCAGCCCAACAACAGCGACCAGCCAAGCTATAACGGCAAGGCCTTACCCCCCCCTCCCCCCCCCCCATCCCAGCAACCACACTGACAGATGATGGATGCAGTCATAGCCCCTCCTCACACTCTGCTCCGAAAAAGTGTCACAAAAAGAATGAACTGAACCAGTTATTCTGTACACAAGAAACTTGATAAGCTTCCGCCTGAAGGCCCAGGTTCCTAAAATGCGTTGCAAGCTCAGCCAGGCAACAGAGGCACACTTATTCCTCCAAGAAACCATATCTACGTCTGCCGGCTGGACGGCTGAATTACCTCCTCGATGTCCCCTCTCCCTTCTTCCATCCCGCCAGCTTCTCCCCCTCCCTCCACCCGGTTCCCTAGCTCCGGCCCCCCTGCTCCTGCTTCCGCCAGCCCCACAACCATGTGCGCCAGCATCAGCTGCGCCATTTCCCCCTGCAGCTCCGCGTTCTTGCGCGACAGCCCCGCCACCAGGCGTTGCGCCTCCCCCATCTCGCGCAGCATCAGCGTCACCTGCCGCTCCAGATTCGCCACTCGCCGACTCTCGCTCTCCGCCCACTCCTGTGCTTCTCGCAGTCGCTCGACCAGCCAAGCTTCGCGAGCACTCGACGGTTCTCGAAAATTCGCAAACGAACTGCAAATCCTTGTCGAAGCCTCGCAAAATTCTTTACCAATAACCGCTGCATCCGGCGCCGGTGTCCTTCTCACCCCAATTTCCACCTCACGAGAAACAGAATCCCTCAAGTTAGGAAACCCTAACCTAACCTCCGGCCTTCTGGTCCCAATCCCTGGAGGCTCGGGCCCTTGAGGTCGGAGTCGCTGTAGCAGCGTCGAGTTTAGCGAGTCGCTGTGAAGGCAACCCAGCATGAGCGACGCGATGTCCTTCTGCGCCGCCACCGCAGGGCTGACGGCCGCCGGCAGGAGAGCAGTAGCGTCCGGCTGAAAACGGTCTGCCGTCACAGCAGGTAGAACCCCATTGCCGCCGCCGAGCGGGGGAGGCTCCACTGGAGGCTGTTCGAAAACGAGCCTTTGGCGCTTTCTCTGCTGCTGGTGATGGTTGCACTCCGAACTTGGCACTGGCCTTGACGAATCTGGCTCTGGTTCCGGGAGACTGAGGCCGAGTCCCAGTTCCGTTCTTCTTCTGACAGGCTGCAAACGACTTCCGTCATCCACGGCCGTTCCCGCCAGCGGCAGGACTCGTCCCCAGTCCGCTGTCAGAGGAACGTGGTGCTTCTCAGAACTGGAAAGATGATTAAGGCCGTGAGGCCCTGCTGCCTGCTTGATGTCGGTTGCTGACGGCGGTGCAAGATTCGGAATCAACGCGAAACGGCTCGGGTACGATTGCTCGTGATATTTAGCACCCTCTCTATCAGTGGTAATGACATTGAAAAAGTCACGACTGCTTTGCAGCAGCATCTCGCTCTTAATGCATACATCCACCTCCTTGTGGACAACAGAGGTTATCGCGCCTGCTTCTTGGTTCCGCTGCCTCTTCGTGAACGCTTGAATTAAATGGGAGGCCGCCATAGGCCCTGGAGATTGACTTGAAAGCAGACTCGCTCGGATCTTGCGAATTGAAGTGGAAAAACAGCACCCAGTAGACTGTTGCTCTTCTGGAATCTGCTATGTCGGAACCATCAATTGTCGAAAATATACTACCGAGACGGAGGAAGACGAAAAGAATATTGCCTTGCTTCCGAAGCGAAGCGCGAAAAGAGTCGGAAAAGCTTTCACTGGCGCTCCCTGCCCCGACGACGTCCTTCGCTCAGCTGAACTCTAGAATCTCACCCAGCCAGAACTCAAGGGTATAGCCTCTCAACCTTCCCTCCATAAGAATCAAGGATCGCAATCAGCAGGAATGCCGGTTGCCTGTTGTTTTTCCCGTTGCCGCTGCCGCCAGGCTGGCGCTGCTCCAGCGTCGAGCTGCGTGCGGCAATGATACCGCCTGACGAGGTCAAGATGCAACGACGGTACTGCGTGTATCTAGTGACCACGCGATACTGCGTGTAACTGCGAGAATGACGCGACGGTACTGTACTCTGCTGTACTGCCAGCTGTTACTGTACATCTAGACAGCAGCAGCATCTACCGAGAGATTGACATCCAGGCTGTCCCTCGCTGTCGGGTCGGTACCGACGAGGTCTATGTGGCACCCCCAAGGTTTTCGCGCTGCAACTGGGAACCCTCGTGTCGGGACCTGAAACCACACTGATGGGAGCGGTCGCGATTGTCCGTGGCTGGCGAGTGGAATATATCGGAAGATGTCAAACAACGGCTGCTAAGCAGTCGACGCATCGCTCCAACCGACGCTTCACACCACCCCCGCACAAAGCGACAATTCGTTGAGGGACTGTGCTCGTTTGCTTTTGGTGCATGGCCATGCAGCATCCATCCTAGATGGCCGCGATGTCGCCGAGGAAACAGCGGCAGCAGCAAAGAAAGCGAGGGCGTAATTGTCCCCTCCGTGTTTTGACTTGTCTTGCTGCTGCCGCTCTTGCTGCTCCTGTGAAGCTGCTGGGGGTAGCTGCTGCTGGTGAGAAATGAAGATCAGTCATCTCAACCCCAACCGTGGCAGTGGAATGGGCAATGGCAGTAGAGCTGCAGATACGATGGCTGCAACTGAAAAGGGATGATCGAAGGGAAGAGGTTCTTGCATACGCCTCTTTGAGTGACCCGGACTTGAGAAACGTTTACACCTCAGAGGACCATACATATGGTGCTATAAGGCAACTTAGCGAGCAATGATCTGGTTAGTTAGGCAGACTTCTTCCCCTATCCAGGCAACATACCGGTATACCGCACCTGAAAATACGGTACATGATTTTGAAACTTTCCAATGTTTGTTGATGCAATCAAACCATACAGTTTGTGTCACGTGACTATTTGCTAATGAAGTGAGGTCAATATAAATAGAACCCCAGCAAGTTCAAAGGACCAGCCTACAAGTTCCAACATGACTTCCCACTCGAATATGTATATATATATATATATATATATATATATATATATATATATATTCTGAGGAGGAGCATTTCTTGGAAGATATGGTTTGGATTGCAGTTTTTTACCTTCAACACCAGGCTGTAGGCCCCACGCCATGCACACGCAGCAGTTAACGCTAACACTTTGGACATCAAGTTCCAGACAGATTCGTGGCTTCTCCTGTCATGTCAGGGCCTCCGGTGTGAGGATGACAAGAAAGTCACGGGAAAAATCTGAGACCCTTAACGCAGATATCATAAGAACGGATGAGAGGAACATTGGGATAGGCCCAAAGAGCCATAAAGAAAGGGGGAGGAGAAAGTAGAAGGAACGATTTCCCACTGTGAAAAAGTTGTCCCCTCGTGCAAGAACCCTTTGTACATAAGAGATGGAGAGACCAGGAGAAGTCTCAGAATCAATGGGGATGGTGATAAGGAAATTTACATGGCTCAGGAATCGAATGGCCTGGAAATGGAAGGGAGGAACGCATAAAATTTCCGATTAAGAACCGCAGTAACTTCCAAGAACAGGAAAGACAAGCTATTAAATCATGAAGGAAGGACACAAACGGTCTACGTCGTGAAAAACGCACCTGAGTGTGGCATAGAAATGCGAAGAGGAAGCAGAGGAATATACAGAAGACTTTCAAAAGCAGCAGGTCAGATGAAGCTGATCCAATGGTCATGGAAGACAACGTTTCTTGAAGGTTGTCAAGGCGGATGCTGGTGAGGATAGTGGCGATTGCAACTGCACCCGTAGCTGAAGTGGAAGCCAGTAACACACATGCCATGATGGAGTTCCGGAGCGATTGCACTGCCAGCATGCCATTGGTGGCGTTGCTTTCCTGGTGAAATTAGAATGATGATTACCGTCAAACTTTTTCGGCAAGGTTTATCTGAAAGTAGCACGAGCCCAACGCTAAAAGATTTGAGCAAGAGTCTGACGTTGGTAAGGTCGTACGTGCCTTCA